ACGTGTGTTCACCCTTTTTTTTTTTCCTCTCTTTTTCTTTCTTTTTTCTATCCCCTACCTCTACTTGACCAATTCGCAGTTTATCTGATGAAATGAAACACATGGGAATAATACACTGGCAATATTTTCGACTTGTTCCAAGGAAACATGTCATATCCATTCGGAAAGGGTTGAGTTGTGTGAGTGTGTGAAATCATGAAACTTTACCACCTATTTTGATATATAAAACAAAAACTGACTGACGCCGTACCCGTAATGTTAAAGTGAAAGGCCGCGCGCAGCTAACAACAGAAAAACACAAAAGGTATGCAGATACATGAACTCATCTCTGTCCATCCCACTCCATCCCATGGAGTCCCATATAGCCAGCCAGTTAGTAGATCGAAAAAACAAAAAAAAAAAAAAAAAAAAAAAAGAAATTGAAAACAGAAATTACAAAACGGGCAAGGGAAGTGACTGTTAAACTCACTCCTCCGCTTTTTTCCCTCCCTAGTAGCCTTCGCTCTTTTTATGCTCGTCTCTCGCCTTCGCCTTCCTTGGTCGAAGCTGGCGTAGATGTAGACATAGACGTAGACGGGGTAGACGTAGACGCAGTAGAAGAACCAGGACCGTCAACACCCGTGGTTCCCATCAACTCAATCAACGTCGGCCCTCTAGCCCTTACCGCATTCCCATTCCCATTACTTCCTTCATTCAACCTCGCCACCATCATCGTCACCACCTCCCCCGGTCCGTCAACCCCCTAAGACGACTGATCCCAAGGGCAAGGGTACGTGCCCACCCAACTCTCCACCTCGCTCCTGAGCTGGACAATCTCCGGGTCCGTCTCGCCATTGCCCAAGTAATCCATAAACGTCTTGACGCGGTTCGCCGCCTTCTCATTGCCCTTCTTCACGGCATCCTCCTTGGCCGCCTTGTTGATGCGCACGGCAATAGTCACGGCGCGATCGATGATGTCAGCCACGCGCGCAAAGTCCTCTTCCGTGAACCCGCGCGTGGTCATGGCGGGCGTGCCGATGCGCAGACCGCCGGGCGTCAGCGCCGACTTGTCGCCGGGGACGGTATTCTTGTTGGCAGCGACGCCGACGAGTTCCAGCACGCGCTCGACGCGGCTGCCGTCGATGCCCTGCGGCTTGAGGTCGATCAGGACGAGATGGTTGTCGGTGCCGCCGCTGACAATGGTGTAGCCCAGCCCGTTCTTGTCCTTGGGCTCGCCGAGGCGGGCGGCGAGCGCCTTGGCGTTGGCGAGAACCTGGCTCTGGTAGGCGCGGAACTCGGGCGTCTGGGCCTGCTTGAGAACGACGGCGAGGGCGGCGATGGTGTGGTTGTGGGGCCCGCCCTGGTGGCCGGGGAAGACGGAGGCGTTGATGGGGGTCTCGAGGTTGTACAGCTCCTCGTCGCCCTTCTTGTTGGTGCGGCGGACGCCGCGGCGGAAGAAGATCATGGCGCCGCGGGGGCCGCGGAGGGACTTGTGGCTGGTGGTGGTGACGATGTCGGCGTGGGTGAAGGGGCCGGGCAGGACCTTGGCGGCCACGAGACCGGAGATGTGGGCCATGTCAGCCATGAGGTAGGCGTTGACCTTGTCGCAGATCTCGCGGAGGCGGGCGTAGTCGATCAGGCGGCTGTAAGCGGAGGCGCCGGCGACGATGATCTTGGGGCGGTAGGTGATGGCCAGCTCCTCGAGCTTGTTGTAGTCGATGTAGCCCGTCTTCTCATCGAGACGGTAGGGAAGGGTCTCGAAGTACTTGGAGATGAAGGAGATCTTTTTGGTGGGAGTCTGGTAGCCGTGCGAAAGATGGCCGCCGTGGGGGAGATCGAGGCCCATCAAGCGGTCGTGGGTGTCCATGAGGGCCGAGTAGACGTAAAGGTTCGCAGGAGCACCGGAGAGCGCTGGAGAGGCCAATGTTAGCCCGGCGTATTCTTTGAGAAGAGAAGCTGTAGAGCGAGAAGCTCACCTTGCACGTTGACACCCCATTCCTTGGGATCCAAGCCAAAGGTCTCGAGGGCTCGGTCCTGGCATAACCTTTCGGAAGCATCAATGAACTCGTTGCCGCCGTAATAACGCGCTCCCGGGTAGCCTTCAGAGTACTTGTCTTTATCCAAATGTCAGCCCTTGTTTCCCCATGTTCTCTGTCTCCATCCTAACGTACTCTGCATGGGGCTTCCTAGGGCATCGAGGACGGCCTGGGATGTAAAGTTCTCGGAAGGAATTAGGTTGATGAACTGCTTTTGTCTTTGCTTCTCCTACATGGCCAAAACAAGATGATGTTAGTCGGTCATGCGACAGACCATTGCTTCACCGGGGAAATTACCTTTTCGATGATATCGTACATGACGGGATCGGCCGTCTGCAAGTGGGAGGCGAGCATCTGCGTAACCTGGTTAGCGACAGCATCACAACCACTAACACCACCAATTCCGTTGGGAAGAGAAGGCGGCGCACCTTTTGCTGATTGTCATTGGCAATCGAAGACGAGGAAAACCTCGTCCAGCTCTTGGGTACCAGCCCTGCGCTCCTCTGTCCCTGCAATTGTATCCGGGATGCGGCGGCGCGACATGTCGTCGAAGCCAGAGTCGCGGCGGACGTGGTAGAAGCCGCGCGGCGGGCGCAGGCGCGCACAGCAGCTGTGCTCTGGAAGCTCGACATGACCTTTTGTCTTTGCTGTTGTTGTTGACTGAATAGTAGATAAGAAAAGGAAAAGGTCAGTCAATGTTACCAAATGTAGTGTGGATGGCTAGATACGGATATAATATGGGACGAGGCAACGGGATCGGAAACGACAAGAAAAATGACGGGATGGGAATTGAAAGTTACGCTTCACTGCACGGCCAATCCCATTCAATCCACAGTGACAGACACTTTCTTTCTGCTCTTTTAGACCCGAGCGCGAGGATAAAACGGATTCGCTTGGATGTTGGATCTTCTTTTTTCTTTTTCGAAATGACTCCCATGGGAAGAAAGAGTTATGTAATTAGTCCTCGGTGTTAGTCAACTTACCCGGGTAATGGTGGTGGTGATGGTCGATGATGCTATGCTGCCCTTGTCAATTTACTTATCGCTACCACCTATCTTTGTCGTTGTCGATAGTACTACAGTCATGATATATCTCACCACCACACTCTATTCATGAAAACCTTCTTGATTCCGTATCACACGTCTCCTCTCATTGTCTCCGTCTCTCTCTTTCTCTTTCTTTAAAAGTATACAACTCGACGGAGGTTGGAAACATGGAGTCACCCGAACCTAACCGACCGGCTATCTTTACCCCACCAAAAACATGACGAAGGCTCCCAACTTTTAAGCCCGGCTTGTTCCCCGAGCTCTTGCCAAATCCACCCCAATAGCCCAGCACTTTTCCCAATGATACCACTCTAACAAACTCCCTCATCTTCCGCACCCAAACCCGCTACCACACCATCCTCCCCACTCCCCATCCTCCGATCTAGTCCGACCTTCCCTCATTCACAGCAGTGACGGGACCAGCAAACCCTTGCCCCAACTTTTGCTCCCCCCCTGTCCCCACAAATCCATTCGTCCCCCTCCGCACTGCTCTCCGTTCCGTTCCCTTGCTGCCCGTCCCGTCCATCGCTTCAAAAACCCCTCCTCCCCTCCTCCTCAATCTTGATCTTCTTCTTTTCTCTTTTTTTTTTTTTTCTTCTTCAATCAACTAAACTGGGTATGATGAGCCCGCCAAGAACACCAGCGCTTTTGCTCCTCCAGGATCTTTTTCGAAAGAAAGGATCTTCTTAGGGGGACGACTCATTTCGCTGATATGCCCTGGCGCAAAACTCACCACTCTGAAAGGGGACAATTTGAGGAAATCTCTGACCCAACTTTTCTTTCTTTCTCTCTTTCTGTTGTTGAAGAACGACGGAAAAGAAAAAAAAAAAAAAAAAAGAAGGAAAGAAAGGGGTTTGGTTGATGCACGATTTTCGCTGTAGGCGGTCGTTTCATAGCAAGGCCTGGTGTCTTGTCTTCTTCTTCTTCTTTTTGAATATATACTCTAGGTAGTTGGTGTTGAAGGGGATTGTGTGGAAACATTGGTGTTGATGAAGATGAGAAGGCGGCGAGGTGGATAACTGGCTGGTCTGGTCTGGACTGGTTCAAGGACCTGATTTGATGATTGTTGATGGCTCTTGATATCTGTCAATTGCTATCGTGGACTTGCTGTTGAAGCTTGTCTACGTGCGCGCTTGACTGTGTGCTCGGATCACGATATGCTGAGCGCGATTTTGTGGTGGTTTAGCTAAGCTACCCATGCTTGGCCATGCTCCTCATGCTCCCCATGCTTTTCGCTTCGTAGATCACAACCGAGGGTGAGACAGTTCTCGTGACATTGCAAGTTCAAATGACCATGTCATCCATCCATCCATCATGGAAGTGATGTGTCCTGCGAAGGGGGGTTCCTTGGCGTCGGACTTCTACCCAGACACCACAAAATTACATCACCGGCGGCATGCAAGCTCTTTAACATCACGGGTCAAGGTTCCATGGAGAAGGCGTGAACTGGGAAATGGTATCATACAAATGGAGTCAAGCACGCACTGCGGTACATGAAAGCAATCTGAAAAGAACAGCAGCTTGTGCTCAACAACGACGTAATCGCATTGTCTCCTTGCATCCCGTTCCCTTTCGGCCTCTTGTCCCCGATACGCCAGTGTGTTTCCCATGAGCGTGCGGCGATCAAGAGCCTGATGAATATCTCTGCTCGGAAACGCAGCTACATCTTGGTCATTCCTTGTCGCCATGTCAGACGACATGCAAAACGCCCACAACACCATCCATTGCTGTCGCCCGTGTGGTATCACCAACAATACCTCCCACAGAAGTGAAAGCACCATCAACTAGGGAAAACCGGACGACCAGAAGCGGATTTCCACGCGTAGATTTTGGAGATGTAGAGAGAATTGCGACCAGAAAAAGAAGCCCAACCGATTACTCCGAATGCAAGGCCGCCAATATGTCCGTCTTCTTCCATTCACGTCATCATCCCAGTAATCTACTTGGACTCCTCCTCCTCGCCGGCGAGAGCGTTGCGCTTGGCAGCCTGGCGCTCGAGCTTGCGCTCGCGAGCGGCCTTGGTGCGGGCACGCTTGGCGTCCATCTCCTCCTTGATGGCCTTCTCGCGAGCCTTCTCGGCCTTGGCACGGTGAATCTGCAGTAACAAACGTCAATATCCGTCCTCCAAATGCCTTCCTCCGCTCGGGTTGTGGTGGGTGTACGTACGTGCTCAACGAGGGCACGCTTGTGCTTGAAGGTGTTACCCTTGGCGAGGTGGTAAAGCTCGTGGTAGAGGTGCTTGTCGATCTTGCCGGAAGCACGGTACTTGACGAGCAGACGACGGAGGACCCGTTGGCGGCGCATCCACAGAACCTGCCTGTAATCGTGGAAATCCCTCCGTCAGCAAAAGATATTCCTCAAGAAAAGTTTGTTGGTCCAAGACATTTGCCACCCTCCATTATCTCCATCTCTCAATCATGTCCTCCACCAGGCCCAAGCGTAGCCTCCCATAAATCGTCCCATGCGATGATAATGATAATGATCCTCCTCTTGCCAAATGTCTTGGTCGTAATGATGGTTTTTTTTTTGGTGTGTTCGGTTTGTACGTACTCGGGCATACGGGCATCGGCGGTACCCTTGCGCTTACCGAAACCGCGGTGACGGCCAATGCGGCGGGCAAGGTTGAGCTCACGCGCGCGGGAGCGCGAGTGCATGGTGACGGGCTTCTTGATGATGAGGCCATCGGCAACGAGCTTGCGGATCGTCTGGCGAGAGTTGGCGTTGCTGATCTCGGAGACCTCATTGGGGTCGAGCCAGATCTTGCGCTGGCCGACGCCCAAGACGGAGGACGCGAGCCGCTTCTGGGTCCTCAGGTTAACCCTGAAAGGCGCGGAAAAAAGTCAGCCAACTGCATCTTGGGAAACTGTCCGAATTGCGGTCATGGTGTCGCTTTTGTCGGTTTTGATGGCGCAGCGTGGTGGTGGTGGTGATTGATGGATGGATGGATGGATGGTGATGAGCATCATGGACTGCACTGCCGGGGACAACCAGTTTTGGCGATTCTGACGCAAACGACAAAGGAACCCTCGTTTGTGTTCATTTGTTGGAAAGGCTTCATTCCTCCCTCAGAATCGCCAAAATGCTCGTCCCGGCAGCCAATTTTTCTCATTTCGCGAACGAACGGGACGGCATGACGATGCTACTCACATCTTGACGGATTTCTGCGTGGATGGTCGGGTCTGGTTGACGATGGATTGAAATTTCCACGGGCTGAGGGGGAAGGTCGGAATCTTAGAATTTCTCACACCACCAGTTTGTGGGTTTCGCCGGGTGGGGACCCAGCGATGCCTGCCATTGGCGAGGGTTAGTGAGGGCTGTCACGGGGAGGGTCACGTGCACTGAACGGACTCTAGCAGCAGCAGCGGAAACTGCAGTGACTGTAATTGCCATTCACTCATCAAACACCAAACATCATTCCACGCCTCCCGGTGCCTTCACTTTGTCCGTGTATTGCCTCGTACTTTCCGCTTCCATTCAAAACCTGACAGCAGTGTCGGCGTGACGGTAATTTTGCCGGTCCACACCATGTGGCGAGATTCAATAGCGTTGTGCAGACCGTTAGCAAGTGTCGCAGCACTTCTCAGCACTTGTTGTTAGCGGATTGCATGCGACTCCTGTCACTTATACGGCCTCACGGGACCAACTGGAAGCGATTGGACCAGCAGCACATTTGTCTCATGATGATTCATTATGATTGTGTTTGATATAGCAGTCCACCGGCCTTACCGAAAAAGAGAAAAAAGAGCTCGCCCAGCAGCAGTACATCCGATGTCAGTGGCGCGACTGGCCATCAGAGTTGCTGGTTTTCATGTTGGCTTTAACGGAAGACAACATTCTTCAAGAACGCACCCGCTAGATGAGCTGGCTTTGCCCCTTGAACCAAGACCGAAAGAAGACAGGAAAAACAATGCAGGCCATACTGACGAACTATATAGAGCCTATGTATGGTCCACCGGTGATATTTCGTAAGAGGATCATAACTACGACCATATGTATTAAAGCGGTAGGATGGATAGATAACTTCCATTACCCAAGTGTTGCCAGTACGATGTACGTCGCTCTGTCAACTGAAGGACATCTCGTAAACACCATCAACGCCTTTCCCGTACCATAAACGACGAAGCGTGTGGGAATCAAGCGAAAAGACCACACACAACACCATCATATTTAGGTAAGCACATTGGGCGCGTTGATCTACCACCACTTACGAGTTACTAGTTAGTTAGTTGCCCGCCAGTCACCTTCACAGATACTTGTACTACGCTATGCTATGGTGTGGTGTACCGTAGAAACTTAGCAATAGGAACCCGTCAAACTGACAAAAAGCTGATGCCTGGAAAAAATATGGAGATCAGGCAGGGTGCTGGCAAATCTGTAACAACGCTTGGGTCTGAGCCTATTTATGCTCTGAAACGCAGGCAGGCAAAGATAGCGTTGGGGCGGTATTGTAGAGCCTTCACTAACTGAGCGGACATATGTCCAGGAGTAGAGGTATACTGCTCCTTGTGCTTACTGTCGGGTGCTCAAAGAGGGATAACTTTTTGCCAGTCTGGCGAGTCTCTACGGTACTCTAATTGTTCCCTTATATCAACGTTCGACGAACGGACGAACGAACGCTGCGAACGCTGCGAAGATGCGCAAGACTACCTAGTCCAGGATACCTAAGATAAGTAGGCAGGACTACTTACGGGGGAAAAAAAGCAGTTTGGAAATAAAGAGACTCAAGAAACTCAAGAGCTTCAAGAAACTCAGAGACACGAGTAAGTAATGATCTACTGCATACTACATAGTAGAGAAGGAAGTTTGTGTATCGTAGCGATTGTTTACTGTGGAGGTACGTGGGTAGGTAAGCATGGAGCAACAAGCTTGGATAAATATGAGGAAGAAAAAGGGTAACGTGGTGAATACAAAAGCAATGATGGAATTGAAAATGCAACTAATGATAGAAAATAACCCTGAAACAAAAGAAGAAAAAAACCGACGACGTGATTCTGATAGAGTTTACAGGCATGTCTGTCTGTCTGTCTGTCTGTCTGTCTTGATAATGTTCATACATACATACCCCTTGGGATGCCTTATTACATATGGAGGCGATTTTTGGCCTCGTTCATTCATCGTTAGCACGCATTCATAGGTACCTCCCTAGCTACGTAATAACACCAACCACATAACCACAACAGCACAACATCCAAATCATCACACATTTATTCGATAAGTGTAGAACACACAAGGTAGTGTACATACGTACTTCTATCTACCTGAGCTTGAACTAGCGATTCTTTGATTCAACTGCATGTTTCACGCTGCTTGCTGATCATCAGACCGACAAGCGTCCGCCATTTCGCATTTCGCTTCACTCAGGGGCAATGGCATCCCCCACCGCCTCCTCCTGAACAAGATCATCCAACCAACCAAAACACCTCGCAGGCATCATCATCATCAACCGAAGTACACGCTAGACGACATAACATTACTTTTCATACCGCTTATTTCACAACAATTCTATCTAATGTACAACAGAGAGATATAAAGAAAACACTTTTTACCCATCCGGCTTTCTTTTCGCTTTCCTTTTTTGTTCCTCCTTCACCTCTTTTCCCTTCCACCATTCTTCTTCTACTTCATCTCCTTCTCTTTCCAAACCTAATCAAACATCTCCCCCCCACCCGCCACATCCACCCGTCCAACACTCATCAACTCCTTCTCATCCTCCACCTCATCATTGCTCAATCCCAATCCACCCGTTCCACCCTCGGCCTCTCTGCGCTCGCGCACCTGCGCACCCAAACGAAGTGCCACACGCTTAAAGTAATCTTGCATGCTCCTCTTGACATTCGGCGCCATATTTCCTTCTTGAGATTCCAAGTACTTTTCAAACACCTTGCTTTCCTCATCGGCCACCGCGAAAAGCTGGACGAAAGCGGCTTCGGCGGCCAACTTGACGGGGATGACCATGTCGCGCACCGAGGCAAAGACGGGCGGGGCGAGTAAAGCCAGATGGGGACGGACGAGGTCGGGGTTGGTGCGCGCTAAAGTACGAACAAGGACGAGGGCGAGACGGCGCGAGTCGGTCGGCTGGCCCGGTGGAAGGAGGGTGGAGATGGTGGTGAAGAGGGGTTTGGTTGCTTCGAAGGATTTGGGCACGGGGGACAGGAGGTATTTGCCGGTGGCGAGAATGAAGTTCTCGGTAATGAAGGTCTAGAGATGAATTAGTGAGGGTCCTTGCTTGCATGGGGAGGGAGATGGAAGAGGAGATGGAAGGGGAGGTGGGAAGGAAAAACAAAGACTCACGTTCTTGCTTGCCATGCCCTGGCACAAAAGCTCAGGCAAGTCATCCACCAACGAAGACTCCAAGAGGGTCTCGGGGCTCTCCAGCAAGACGGCGTTCAAAGCCAGAACGCTCGAGTTGCTAAAGTCCCTGGTCAGGACTCTGTTCTTGAGAAGCTGGGCAGCCACCTCGTCCGAGACGTTCTTGACAAGGGCACCAAACAGCTTGGCGTAGGTGATGGTCATGGTGTCGTCGCGCTCGTCCGCCTCGGTATCGATAAGACCGAGGACGGCGGTGCGAGAGCCCTCGCCCATGTTGGCGCCGGCCTTGCTGATGACCTCGTACAAGGCCTTGAGCATGGCCGTCTTGACGCCGGCGTCGGAAGTCTTGGAGCCCGTCACCAGCTCGGCAATCAAAGGATCCACGCGGGGAGTAAACTTGATAAGAGTACCCAGAGCCTTGGCGGCACGACTGCGGAGAACGTCGCTGGAGGTGTCGGCGAGCGACTTGGCGAAAGTACGCTGCAGCTGCGGCAGGAAGGGCTTGAGCGCCGTAGGCATCTTCTCGAGCAAGTTGTTGAGGGTAAGCAAAATGGCGGACTTGACCTCGGTAGAACGTTCGGAAACGACACGAATGAGCGGACCGGTAATCTGCGTGACAAACGGCTTGAGCGAGGCCTCGCTGGTCCTGTCGACAATGTCCGAGATGGCAAGGGCCGAAGCCACTCTCTGATCTGCGGAGCCGTTCATAAGACCCTGCAGGAAAATCGGGAGAATGGCGTTGATGCCCTTGGGCAGCTCGAAGCCGCGCAGGTTGACGCCGGCAACGCCGACCTGGAGGAGGGTCTGGCGCGTAGAGATGACCAGGTTCTCCATGTCTTCCTTCCTAAGTTTCTTGGTGAACTCGCTAAGCGCGCTCCAGGCAGACTTGACCACGTCCATGTCCCTATCATCGAACGAGAGCAGGAGAGAGCGGATGATGTCCTGGTTGTAGCGCGAGTAGTCCACATCGGCCGAAGCAAAGAACTTGGACAGGTGGAACGCGGTAGACGCCCTTCTGCGGTGATCGTCGTGCTTGAGAAGCTGCAGCAAGGTCTGCATAACCATATTGAGACCGTCGTACTCGTCAATGGACAGGATGACAGTGTCGAACGACTCATCAAGCTCCTCACGGAGGGTATCGTCAGTGCAGTTGATAATGTTATCCATAAGCGAGTTGATGATGCTGGGCAGGCGACGGTTCATAGCCGCGCCGGCAACCTTGGACAACGAAGCCAGCGCCTTGGCGTTGAAGGAAGAAATAGGAGGCTTGATAAGGCTGGGAATGAGGTTGGGCAGAATCATGTTGGAGCGAGTAGTCTCGGTGAGCAAGGTGAGCAGAGCCGCAAGAGCATTCTCAGCCTCCTCCTCATTGGCGAGAAGGGTGAGAAGGAAGGGCATAACCTCTTCGACAGCACGCTTGCCGAGAATCTGCTGCAAGGAATCGAAGGCCTCGGCGGCGGCTTCTCTGACATCTTCGTCGCGGTCGGTAAGCGCGGTACGCACAACCGAGATGAGCGTCTTCTCGTGATCCTCGAGGGCCTCGGGAGAGGCAGAAGCGATGAGCTCCTTGAGG